GTACTTAGTAAATATTTGTGGAATTGAATTGTGAACTAGTCAACTGGATAATTACAACCAAGGCATCCAATTTATACGCCTCTCCCCAGCAACAGGGAAAAACACGGCACCGATTCCGAGAACACGAGTAGACGGCCACGCAATTCCAACTCCTCCTCCTCAGGAATTCTGCACGAGGCAAGTCTGCTTCACGCTCTCGTCCCGCCCCGGCCTCTGATGCGACCCACCAGGAGGCGACAGTGAAGAACAAACACCCCAGCAAACACGCGCCTTGGGGCCGGCTATTTAGCATGGAGATGACACGACCTACTCTGGATGGCGGCTGTGCGAAAGCACACCACGAATGTGGTCTGACACACGCACACGTGAAAAACCAGCAGAGATCATTACCATCCTCCCCAAGGGAAACGTCCACTCCATAGGTCACCAGCAATGATGACCGTTTTTTTTTTTTTTTAAAAGGTAAATTCCCTTTAGCATAAGAAATAAACTATTAAAAATTATTTTTAAAGTACTTTGAGTTCAAATATCACGAATGTAAAAAGCATTAACACATCTTCCTCAACACTGTATACTATTTCTAGGTGAAACTGACATAACATAATACCAGCCACTTTAAAGTGAATAATTCAGTGGCACTTAGTACATTCATGACCAAGTCCATCCAGTTCCAGAACACTTTCTGCACCACAAAAGGAAACCCCAGACCCCTCGACAGCTGCTCCCGTCGCCTGCTCCCCCAGGCCATGGCAACCACAGTCCACATTCTGCCCCTACCGCTCTGCCCATTCTGTGTATTCTGTATAAATAAAATCATACAGTATATGACCTTTTGTGTCTAGCTTCTTTCACACAGTGTATTTTCAAGGTTCATCCACGTTATAACATGTGTTAGTATCTCATTAAATGTTACGGTTGAATAATATTCCATGTATGAAGACAGCAAAATTTCGTTTACCCATTCACCCACTGCTGGATGTTCGAGTTACCACCTTTTGGTGATTGTAGATAGTGCTGCAACAAACATGGGTGTGTGTGCATTTGTTCGAATTCTAAATTTATCTGAGAATGTCATCACTTCTCCTTCATTTTTGAATGACAGTTTTACTGCATATAGTATTCGTGATCGGTGGTTTTTCTTTGACCATTTTTAAAATGTCACCCCATTGTGTTCCGCCTGCTACTTCCTCATCATCTGATCGGAGACCCCTCGTGTGTGGCGAGTGGCTGCTCTCAGGGTGTCTTCCTGGTCCTCAGGCTGCAACACAGCAGCCACGACGCACTCCACGTGGCTCTCCTTGCATCTGTCCTTCCAAGCACTGACTGAGCTTCCGAAATGTGGAGATTCACGTCTTTCATCGAGTTGGGGATGCTGACGGCCATTACTCCTCCCCGGCTCGGAGTCCACTGTGTGCATATCGGAATGCCTGAGGCTGCCACACGGGTCTCCCAGGAGCCATCTACTTTTCTTCGTTCCTCTTTCTGCTCCAAGACTGGATAATTTCGTGGGACCGAAGTTCAAGTTTACTGACTGTTTCTTCCCCTTACTCTAATCTGACAGTGAAACGCTCTTTTTTCTTTTATTTTACTTTTCAGCTCCAGCATTTCCTTTTTGCTTCTTTCTAATAATTTCTATATTCTCATCGACATTCCCTATACGTTACTGCATCATTCTCCTGATGTCATTTAGCGATGTTTCCTTTAGCTCCTTGAACATATTTAAGGCAGTTGATCTAGCCCTTGTCGAGTAAGTCCTCAGAAATAGTTGTTCCTAATGTCTTCTGTGAATGGGCCACACTTTGTTTCTTGGTATATGCTGTGGCGACATATGTTTGGTAATTTTCCCACGCTCATTTTGTCAAGTGTATATTCTCTGTCACACGTCTCCGAAAAAGATTTCCTTGCATGTGAGGGGAAGGGAAGAGAGGGGTAGAGAGGGGGTGAGAGAGGAACAGAGAGGGAGAGGGGGGGAGAGGGGGACAGAGGGGGACAGAGGCAGAGAGGGAGTGGACGAAAGCGGGGGGAGGAAGGCCAGCCTGTCTCAGGCCTTGCAGACTGGCCCTGTGCTGGGGCCTCCAGCACTTAGCCAGGCTGTTTTCAGCTCTGCCTCGGTCTTCGCTCCTTACACTGAGCTTGGCGATTGGCCAGAGGCAAAAGACCTTCTCTGGTCTTCCCTGAGCATGCGTCCGGCTCCGGCCTTGAAAGTGGCTTTCACCATTCCCCAGTAAACACGGGCACTTTTGAGTGCCCTAATTTTCCAAAGAAATTCTCTCCCCAACTTTTTCTGTCTGGCACTTAATACTCGGTCGCATGTCTTGACTGGTCCTTAGCCTCACACGCACGTGAGAAAGGCCCGCTGCTTTTCGGCTTCTCTGCCCTGTGTGAGTTCCAAGCTAGGTGAGAGGAAGCCCAGGGTCTTGGGTCCATCGTTCAAGCAGCCCTGAGACGGGTCAGACAGAGGGACACGATGCACTGCAAGTGCGTCCTCCTCGCCCCCTGCAGAGATGAGCGCCATGCTGGGGAGGCGTGGAGCAAGGGCAGGGGACACACCGAAGAGCTTTCCCACTACTTCTAGGTGGCCTCTTCCTGGACTCACTGTCACTCAGGTGCTATAAACCTCTGACTGCTTTCCGGAGTTCTGATGACATCAGTTCTCAGGTTCTGCTCGATTTCTCAGGGTTTTTGTGGCAAACAGGGCACGTGGAGCTGCCTGCTCTGCCATTTCTGCTGACATCACCACACCGCGTATTTTTGAATGATACGATTGATGCACAGAAACAATTCTCTGCTCTGCCCAAATACCACAATTAAAATAATTTTTTGAATAAGCCAGATCTTTACTATATCCTAAAAAAGGCAAACCGAAGTTACCTGGCCATTAGGGGGATTCTTTTTTGCAAAACTAAAGCTAACCTTCTCTGCAACACACCTTTCCTCTAACATGCCATACTTTAAGCCTCAAAGCTTTTTAATAATTAATTTTTCAATTCAGTTGAGAATAATCTTTTCAACAAATGGTGCTGGGACAACTTGATAAGTCATGTGCAAAAGAATGTGGACTCACCATACACAAGATATGAAATGAAAACAGATCACAAATCTGAATGTAAGAACTAAAACTAGAAAACTAGAAAAAAAAAATAGAAGTAAATCTTTGTAATCTTGGTTTAGCAAATTGTTTCTTAGATAAAACCCCAAAAGGACGAGCAACAAAAGAAAACATAGGTGAGTTGAACTTCATCAAAATTAAAAACTTTTGTGCATCAGAAGACACCACGAAGAAAGAAAAAATACAACCCATAGAATGAGACAAAATATTTCCAAACCATATATCTGGCAAGGAACTTAAATCTGGACTATAAAAAGAACTTCTTACAACTTGAGGATTAAAGAATAACCCAGTTAAAAAGTAGACAAAGAATCTGAATAAACATTTCTGTGAAGAAGACATACAGAAGGCCAATAAGCACATAAGATGCTCAACACCATCAGTCGTGATGGAAATGCAAATCCAGTCACAGTGAGATACTACCCCACACCCCCCGGGATGGCTACAGCCAGAAAGAGACAATGAGAAGTGCTGACGAGGGTGTGGAGAAGCTGGAGCCCTCACACACTGCTGGTGAGAATGTAAAATGGTGCGGCCAATTACGGAACAGTCTGGCAGTTCATGAAAACCACAGTTACCACATAATCTAGCAAGTTCACTCTCAGGAAGATGTACAAAAGAAATTAAACTGACACGTCAATGTTCACAACAGCATTATGTACAATGACCTGAAAGTGGAAACAGCCCACACGTCCATCCACTGTCGAGTGGGCAAAACGAAGCCGGCGTATCACACGCTGGGAGACGGTCGGGCACTAAAAGGCAAGCGAGCACTGATGCGGCCGCAACGCGGACGGACCCTGGAAACACTTCACCGAGTGAAAGACAAAAGACGCGCACTGCGCCTCTCCATTTACACGGAACGTCCAGAAGAGGCAGATCCGCAGAGATGGAGCAAGAATGGAGAGTGACTGTCGATATACATACATATTCATACTTTCTTTCTAGGATGTTAAAGATGTTCTAAGATCATGGTGGCGATGGCTTCAGAACTGTGAATACACCAAAAACCACTGAACTGTATACTCTAAATGGATGAATTTTATGTTATGTGAAATATATCCCAATAAGCTGTAAACAGAATTTTTTTGCACAGGATTATTTCAAATAAACAATGCACTGTACAGACGTCCATATGCAAACAGAAGACACAGAGCCACTCCAAACTCCTTCGCGTTAAGCAGGCGTCAAGGTATCGCGAACACCCGCTTGGTTCTTCAGTGTCTTCCCCGTCACTTCTCTGTTGTCATAATGCCCATCTGTGATAGCTTCACTCGATTCTGTTCTAAAACCCTACTTTGCTACTAAGACTGAGAAACCAAATAAACGAGCCCTTTATATTAAGCAAGCGAGGAGCCCTGCAGGAAGGTCAAGGAAAACACCGCACACCAGTGAGCACCTGGGATCGTGACACTCGTTTTAGGTGCACAAAGCCCTTGACTTATGTGTGGTTACGGTACTGGAGGTCTAACCTTATGATCGTGTTTCAAGTATAATGCAAGGAGAGATTTAAATGCGGTGACACGATGCTTCACAGAAAATGTGCGTGCCCAGGTGGGTTTCACGTGTGTCTAAGTACACATGCGTTATATATGAACTGTGACAGACGTTATATAATTATTAATATATGTGTACATGTTTGTACGCATGTGTGTGTTTAGGTGCGTTTATATATTTAATTCACACAAACATATGTCCAAATATCTGAGAATAAAATTCTATCCTGAAATTCCATACATTGTTTTATTATTAGAAAATTAGATATTACATGCAATCACATAATACTATTTTCGATAACAGAATTAAGACATGTTTTCTTTCATTTATATCAATTCTAAAATAATGACTGCATTAAACACATGATAAACAGGATGAAAAGTGTCTTGCTAACCTCGTACTGTAAGCTTGCTGTATAGTTGTGAATTCACTTCCTTGTCTCGCTGAAAACGCCGAAATTCATCGATTGCTTCTCTCGTGATAGTAACAGCCAAGACAAATCCCTATAAAACAAAATGAAATAAGGTATTTGAGAAAAGTTGACTTTAACAAAAAAGTAAGGAAAATGCTTTTACGATTTAGTCTTATTCTCTTTCCTTGATTTACAGCTGACCCTTAAACAACAGGGTGTGACCTGCGCAGGATCCACTCACCCACAGATGCTTCTTCAGTGAACACCTGTATTACTTTTGGTTTGCTGGGGTGGGGGGCAGGGGGGCATCTGCAGATGCAGGGGCCCCGAATGTGCATTGATCCACACCACTTTATAGAAGGAGCTTGAGCATCCGTGGACTTTGGTATCTGCGGGGGGTCCTGGAACCCATTCCCCATGGAGGCCCAAAACTTAGGTCCCCTAAGTTTTGGGGGAGTCAAAAGTTACATGCGGGTTTTGGACTGCGTGGGGCCCTAAACCCTGTGTTGCTCAGGGGTCAGCTGTGTATTGCTTCTAAAACATAAAATAAATAAAAACAAAACGACGATGAAAAGTGACAACAAAATACTATAAAATGTAATACGGAGTAAAAGATTTACAATTCTTACTATACCCAAGACAATTTTTAAAATTTGAATCATAATATGTACTTCAAGCTGCACATCAGAAAACACTAGTGACTCTAAGAAAAACGAGCGATCTTCCACAGGCCCACGAATCAGATACGGACAGTCAGACGTTCAAACATCGAGTTAACGAGACTGGCACAGGAACCTCCTTTCTGCCCTCGAGTCTTAGTGCTGGGGGAATGAGAGCAGTGAGGGACACAAAGCAGTGCCGGACACGACACTGGCGCTGACCCATGTTCTTACACGGTGCGGTGTCGGGCAGCTGCACTCGAGAGCAGAGCTCTTTTCCTCTATTGTTAGAGGCCGAACAGGTTAACATGACACTATTTACAAAGAAGTTTCACGTTCCTGTCGTCTGCTGTGAACTGTTAGACCACTGACGTGGCCAACACCCATCTTTCCTAAAAGCTACGTATGTATTTCCTGACTCACGTTCCGTGAACATTCTTCAAGTCCATCTCCCTGTGATTCACCAGAGCTCTCTTCAGCAGGCTCCTTGTTACTGACACCCATGCGCCATCTACTTTGTGAATTTCCATGGAAAAGAAAAGACAATAATTGTCCCTGAATAACCAACGCGCTACAGCGAGTGGGCCACTAGGGGAACGCGCTCCCCCTTACGCCGTCACCCCTGAACGCCGGTGTGAGATCCCCTCAGACCCCGAGGCCCAGGGCTCCACTCACCCGCTGGCCAGCACAGCTGTGACCCTCGAGCCACGGCCACCAGCAGGGAGTAATGTCACGACTCCTCTCTGGCCCTCGCATTAGTGGCCGGTCACTGACTGCGACCGTGCTCGCCGCCGCATCGGCCCGGCCCCGGCCGCGCTCAGCTCCCACCGCTCCGTCGCTCTCCCGCCCAGCCTCGTCCACGCGTCACCGCACCGTCCTCAGCTACAGAACCCTCCTCCGGGGCCAGGCCCCCCTGAGTCACGGCATGAGCCCTCGATGGCCCCGCTGCAAGCTCGAGCTCCAGAGCCACCAGCTCTCCGCCCAGCCGCCCGCCCCTCGCGGCCTCTACCCCAGCGCCGGCACCTCCCTAGTCCCCGAACCCCGAGACGCACCCCATCCGGTCTTCACCAAGGAATCCCAGGGCTGCAGAGAGCACCGGTCTAAGCACCCTAAAGCCATCCGGGAACCGCTGAGCAAGGAGCCATCACCAGCGGGCCCCCGGCTCCAGCCGTGAAGAGGGAGCGGGC